CGTGCGTGCGTGCGTGCGTGCGTGCGTGCGTGCGTGCGTGCGTGCGTGATACATGGGAGTGGCTGTGCATACACAAGCCAAAAGTTGATGCTAGGTATCTTCCAATACTACTTTCTAACTTACTCAGTTTTTAAACATTCATTTTACTATCTTTAGGTATGCATACATGCATAGCTGTGTGCATGTAAGTGCAGGTGCCTGTGGAAGGAATCAGTTCCCCTGGACCAGGAGTCACTGGAGGTTGTGAGCTGCTTGGTATTGGTGCTGGAAAGTGACCTCTACAAAAGCAGTATATATTTTTAAATCACTGAGGCATGTCTCTAGCCCCTCTACCTTATTTTTTGAGACAGGGTCTCCCCTGGGATCCTCTTGTGTCTGCCTCCCAGTGCTGGGGTTATAGGTACATGCCACTACACTTTCAAACAGATGTTATTAATCCAAACTTTATCTACTGACCCACTCCCCAGCCCCACTCCTGAAATCCTTTGTTTGTTTGTTTGTTTGTTTGTTTGAGACGATCTCACTGTGTATTCCTGGTTGGCCTCACGGAGATCCACCTGCCCCTGCCTCCTGCATGCTGGGATTAGATGTGCACTACCATGCCCAACACAGAAAAGATTCCTAAAGCACAATGTTGTGTATCACAAAAGGGAAACCTGACCTGGTACCGCTGGCCTGGCAGAAATGAAGATACTGTAAACAGGGATGTGTGTCCCTCATCTATTACTGTTGAAACATGGCCTCCAAGAAATGGGGGTTTCCCAGGAAATACATTCTAGAAGGAAACAGCACCAACCAGAGAGGGAACTTGTTGCCTAGAAAAAGATTTACAACTTGTCAGAGCACCTAATCAGGTGTGACAGAAGCCCAGTGGGCCCCTGTGGTGGGATCACACCTTGACTGGGACTGCTTACATATACAAATCCTTGGTGCTCTAAACTTTAGTTTTACCACAGGACCTTGAAGATGGACTTGAGGGAGTCACTGGATTTCTGTCTCTCTTCCCATTGTGGCCATGTCAAGTAAATCCTTTTTCTGTTTTTCACTGTTAATTTGGCTATTTTCATTGGCTCCTTCAGGATCAATCAATAGCTCAACTTGGCTTCTTGGGGTATGGACCGTGCCAAGAGAGAGCCCATGGGCAAAATTTTCACCTACCTGGGAGAAAGAGGCCTCAACCAGAACTGGCCCTCAGCCCTGACTGCCAGCAGCTCGAGTGGGACCCTGCCCTGCCGTTGCCCTCCTTTCAAGAAAGCACACCAGCTCCACAACATACCCCAAGAGCACGGGCACTGGGGCAGCAGCAGACTGACCTTCTGGCATTCGTATTCACTTCTCCTTTAATGACAACGGTTCGTCCAGGGCCCATGGAGGCATTCAACCTTGCTTCAAATGGCAGGCTCTGAAAAGGGGCCACAGTCAGAATGAGGCATCTTCAGAAAAGGCTCTTGTGGGAGAATTCCCAACAACATGAAGGCAGGGTTAAGAGTCTGTGGACTCCGGGTGGGGAAAGATCTTTGCTATTGCTATGTTCATCTCAGCTGGGTCCCCTGCAAAGCACAGTCTCACTCAGTGCACGCACACATGCACGCACGCACGCACGTACGTACGCGTGGCTCTTCAAACCTTAGACAAACAGCTGGGAGGTAGGGTTTTGGTGTGAGTGACAGTAGCATCTATGTTCTTGGTGTAGACAGTTCTGGATATGATTTTGTAACCTTATTTTTTGCTACTTTGTGCGTGTTCTTCCTAGGTTCTTCTCCTAACTGTCTCTTAACAATATCTTCTCTGGCTCAGCTCAGCTCAGCTGGTTAGTAAACCATTTTAAGGGTAGGGCTGTTGGTATGATTTCAGGAGTATCCTGAAATTTAGAAACTCAGTCCCTGTTGTGTCCTGTGTTTGGGTAGTCTGCACAGTCTGTGGTTGTTCTGGATGACATTTTTCAATACTTCCTCCCCAGAAGCATCTGCCACTTCACCCCCTTTTATTTTAGGGATTGTCTCTGGTATTGAGAGAATATTAATCTGAGTTCCCCACTACTGAGATAAATCTTATCTCCATACATTTATAGCCATGTCAGTCACATAAGGCTGTTTGACCTTCCTATTTAATCTTCTGAGCCCACACATTTAAGCTATTGCACACTTTGTTTTATCTGAGATAACTTTCCAGTTCCTAGAAACTGGGTATAAGCCTTTTGAGTGGCCATTCTGAATTCCAAGATTTTTGTGAAATAATAGTTAACATCAGCTCCTGTATCCACCAACCCTTCTATTTCAATGTCACTCACTTGCAACTTTAGTTTTGGCCTCTAATCATTAATAACTTTTCCAGAACACATATTTTCCTGTATTTACAATCCCTTCTGATCTTTCTGCTAGAGCCGCTTTGCATTTGATGTAGGGAAGCAGTAACAGCTGAGCAATCCTATCACCTGTGTTACATTGCCCCCCCCTTTTCTTTTTATATAAGCCATTGTTTTAATTTTGCCTTTGAAATCATCATCTATTATTCCTGGGTGCACAACAAATCCTTGGGATGTCAAACTGCTCCTTCCAAAGACCATTCCTACTGTCCCTAAGGGCAAAGGACCATAAACTCCAATAGTTACTTTATAACATGAATTCCTAGGAACGGTGTAATTATCTACGGCCAAGTCTGGAGCAGCACTGCCAGCAGTAGCATGCATTGGATCTGCAATACTTAGCTGAGGAATACTTAGTCTTGGGGAATAATTCTATTTTGAGAAGCTTGTTTGTTATTTCCTGGCTGACACGAGGCAAATGGCTCGTACTTTTTGCTGTGGAGCCTGAAGCTGCCCCCACCCCACCCCATTTCATTTCCCCAACAGTAAGAACTTGCACTGGATATCTCTCTTGGACCTACATTCATTAGTCCAATGGCAACCCTTGTCACTTTGCCTGCACACTCCTGGAAGCCTATGTCTTCTGGCTTGTATTTAGAAAAACCACTGCCCTGGAAGATGCCTTGTTCACAATTTTGTTTCAAATGTTCATATTTCCCACAATGAAAGCACCAGGCCTTTTGATATCAGAGACCTATAGTTTGATCTATTAGTATGGTATACATTAAAACCAATATAATTTGTATTCTTTTATCAATTTGTCCATGGATACTGCCCACGCCTTTAGTGGTGTTATTTTTTTTTACATTTGGTATTTGCATTTTCAAGTGCTAGAGTCTCTATCAACACCTGTCTGTGTCTGTGTCCAATATAATCTTATTTACTGCTGAGTTCAATTTTTGTTTAAAAGAATTAGTGAAGGCTTCTCCAGAGCCTTGTATAATCTTTGTAATAATATGGACTTCTTTCCTGGCTTCTCAACTTTGTCCCAAGTTCTTAGAGCTGCTAAGTGACACTGTTCTATGACTGAATCTTCCACTTGAACCTGTTCATGTATATCAGCATAACGTTCTGCACCTACCAACTGGTCTCTCGTTTTATTAATTCCCTTCACTTTATTGCACTGTTCCAAGCCCCTGGCTTTTCCTGTTCACTATAACAACCATTGCAATTGAAGGCCAGCCTCTTGTACACACATTACTAATCCCTGCCAGTCTTGGAGAATAATTCTATTTTGAGAAGCCTAGTTATTCACATTGGAAGAAGGCATCCTTTAAGACATCATTGCCTCTTTAAAAAGCTTTAGGCCCTTCATTTCTATGGGATACCATCTTATTTTGTCATAACCTTGTGGGTCACCCCCATTAGCAGGCATACGCTGTATAACTACTGGGAATGCTGTTGGTGATTCTGTGACCCAGGACTGCCTGTCTTCAAAGGGTGCTGTCAGTTTAACCGTGTTTCCTTAAAAAGGCTTTCTCATCCGGCCATTCTTCTGCTTTTCCATTTCTTTGACCTGACTGACATCAGACACAGTTCCTTTCCCTTTTTCTACCTGGTAAAAACTCCTTGGTTCAGTCACTGGGAATGAACCTATTTGCCGTCCCTCCCAACCCCCTTTTTAATGTCTGACTTTTTTTTCAAGTTTGTCTACCTCTACTCCCAATTTCCCTAGCTGCACAGCCAACTCTGTTACTTTTTTCAGAAAGGAGAAGAATAAACTCTCATGTTTTCCCATTTTCTCCATTTTTTGATTCCTAAGCCTCTCCATTTCCACCCTTATTTTTTTCCAGTTGTTCAGCCAATCTTTCAACCCTTTTATAAGCAAAATAGCCCATAATGAAGAAAATGAGAGAAAAAAAAAACCTCTGCTGCTAAAAACCACTGGAGATGTTCTAACAGCTTCAGCAAACGCTTATTGGAACAAAATATCCATACCTCCTTTTCCTGCCATTTGCACT